GCTTTATACTTGTGCTTGACGTTATTTTCCTCCATTGTATTTCATTTTCCGTTTGTGGAAACGCACTTGCATCAACACGGCAATTGCCATGAAAAAAGGACTGCCTCATCTCAGCTGCAACTTTGAACAAGGTGAGAACGGATTCACTTTTTCAGGGAGGGAAAATGCGACCTAAAAAAACCCCCAGAAATAGTAACAACAACAACAAAAAACCTTTTCTTATATAGCAAAACCTCTGTGAACGTTTGAAGTTTCAACAGCTTGACTAAAAGCAGTACAGCAAGAGACTCAGAATGATTTATAAAACCAGCCCTATGCCTTGGCCGGGCCAGATTTTACCGTGGTTTCTGGTGTTCATTAGCATCTCATTGCACATGTCGTCCCATTGATCCCAGTGGAACAAGCCCACACAATAGAGTTCTATTCAGGAGTGGTGAAGGCAGCCCCTACGCCCATCCCCAAACACTGAGACATGGCAAAGGTTTGTGAATAGACTGCAGATAATTTTTGTTGTGTCTTCTAGAATTTGTACTAGCCTATTAACTACCCATAAATATTTGCCCGAGACACGCATTGTTTAAAATTGAGATACAAAATGAGACAAGGATTTTTTTCTTTCTCCTTAAAGAGTCATCCATGCTCCCTAATGTCTATTGGGAGAGATTTTCAATAATTTCTATGGCTTTATTTGTTTTCGCTATAGATGTTAAAAATGAATCTTACGCTTGTTTCCAAGACACCAAAACATTTCAATCTTTAGTCTTTGTAACACCAAGTTTCCATTCGGGCCTAAGAGGACTTTCATCAGCTGAGAAGCTTTTAACAAACAGTGGTTCATCTGGGGTGTGTGATGGGGAGCACAGAGGCGGGGGGGAGCCTCTCATGTATTCTCTGTCTTCTGCTTTGCATGTAGCTGATATTTAAATGGCCTGCGTGGCTTCAAGGTGAACTCAGTAAGCAGCGACCACCTGCAAAAGCAGTGAGGGAAAGGGGTCTTAAAAGCCAATGGGTGCATTTCTGTAACAAGTGTGAGCGGATGGAGGGAGTTCGTGGTGATGTGAGTGCAGAGGACTGTAAGAGATGTGGGAGGCAGGCAAGAAAGACAAAGAAACTTGTCTATTTTCAACGGTAGTATTTTAAATATGAACATGAGCTGAAGAGAAAATAAATTCAGGCTGCTGAGCGGTGTTATTATCACTCAGTGCTGTAACAACTCGGCCTCGGTTCCAAACTTTGTTTGTCCAGAACCCCACGTTGAGCCCTGCACACTGAAGCGTGCGGATCTGTGTATGTGAAATGTGCATCGCAGCCTTCGCTCTGCGGCTGAGTGCAGTGTCACGAAGGCAGTGCCGGTATTACCAGACAGTTAAAGCAAACTGATCGATGGGTACTTAATCAGCTTTTCTTTTTTTTCTTCTTAAATTCTGAGGACGGCAAAATATTTCACAGCTGGCTGAACTACGGCATGGATGGGAGCTTTAGAAACTTGACTTTCTATAAGCTCTTCTCAAAATAAAGTGCATGTTTCAAGTGCATTTGTTATAGGGAAAAAAAGAAAGGAAAAAAAAAAGGAAAAAAATAAAACTATTGATTAAATGCCATTTATTAATTACAGAAGCTAATTTCAGGCTTTTGACGTATACCAGAGGATTGGCAATTAACACGTCGCTCAGTAATCTATCTGGCATTTTAAATTTTATTGCTGAGTTAAAACAGCGTATTTTTTCAAGAACTTTTGCAAATCAGAACTGAAATGCAGAAAGTAAAATGTCGTCCTTAATGAGCGGCAGCGCGGTGCCCCTCGGCTGTGCCCAGCGGGGCTGTGCGCCCTCAGCAGCAGCACCAGCGTGGCTCCATCCCGCCGGCAGCTGTGGGACACTTCGAGCTGAGCACGATTTCCTTTTTCGTGTTTAATAACGTTCTGCTGTGACTCCGCGTTGCCAGCGAGTTTGAAAATAGCTGAACGGAGAAGAGAACGCCCCGCGTTCTGCCGGCGGATCGTCCAGTCTGGGTTTATCTGGCTGCAGAATTTGAATACCGTTTCAAATTCTGAGGCAACTCGTAATACCCTGCCTCTGCAAAGCAAATACGCGGTCAACACGGGAAATAAAATCTCATCGCTTTGGTGAAGGCAGCGTCAGGTGACGAGGGAGCATCAATCGGAATTACACCGTCAATCGAAATGCAACCCGGTAATAAACTGTAAGCGCAGCCGGCGGCCGGTTCGGGAGCCTGGGCCGCCCTGCCTTAAAGGAGTTGGGTGCCGTCTGCCAGGCCGGCCCGATGGATGCGACAACACCCGAGCGGGGCTGCGCTCACCCGGAGACGCCGGCGGAGATCCGCAGCCGAAGCAGAGAGCTTCTCTGCTGTCCGTCAGCAACGCCCTCATTACAGCGCTAACGTGTGTAACTGTTTAACACTAAAAGCACGGTTGTCCAAATGCTCAAATTAAATGAAAAGCAAGCAGAGAGGGCGAAAGTCGTAAAACCTAATTGCATCCTAACAAAACCTCAAGAAACATTTAAGCGCTCGGCAAATTACGAATCGGATTCCGAGCCGCCGGCCGATAAAGGTCAATGAAGTTACGAGAAGCGAGATGTAATATTCCTTCAGAGCGATGCTGTGTATGAGAAAAGTTCGCCCGATGTCCCGAAACTTTGAGAATTCAAAACCGGGCGCTGCCTCAAGGCGCGCTCGGCACCCGCCTCCCGACACAGCGCACTGAAGGACGCGCAGCCCCGCGCGGAGGTCCCTCTCTGCCCCGTCCCGCGTACAGTACGCTCGGGCCCGCTGCAGCCGCGGCTCCGGGGTCTCTTCCGAGCCCGGCATCGGTGCCGGCAGCGCTCCCGATGCCCCGAGCTCTCCGAGGTCGTTCGCCTTCCTCAGAAAGCGCGTTTTCCTCCCTCGCCAAATCTCTCAGCCTTTGTAAAAACGGATATTAAATAGAGGAGGGATGAAAGTTACTTTGGGTTAGTTGCCGTCCAGCCGCCGTTTTCTCCTTTCTTTCAGCCCCGATGCCGGCAGCATTGCATTTCCGACTCCCGATGTTAGTTCCGTCGGGGAAAGTTTGGACGCGGATTGACCCGGCAGAGCGGCCCTCCGCGTCCCACCTCCCGCTTTCACCCCGGCTCCGGGCGGAGCCGCGCCCCGTGCCGGGCCCTGGCCAACTTCGGGACGGCCCCGACCTGCCGGGCTGCTCCTGTTTCTTCCCCGACGGCGCCTCTCGCTCTTCGCTCTGTTCCCTCCTCGGCGGCGGATCTCCGTTTTCCTTCCTTGCCGCTGCCGCCGTGTGCCGAGCCCATCTCGCTCCGCCCGACCCGCCGGGAGGGGCGGTGGAAGGAGAAGCGGGACAGACGGAGCGGCTCTGCGGGAGCGGACGATGAGTCGGCGGCGGCCGGGTCCGGCGGGTGCCGTGTCCACGAGTGCGGGGTGCTGCTTGGGCTCACGGCTGTCGTGGCGGAAGCGGAATGAGCCGACGTCCCGTTCAGTTATTTCTGATACATCCTCCTAAGCACGGGGTGATACTCTTTTTCTTTTTCTTTTTCTTTTTCTTTTTCTTTTTCTTTTTCTTTTTCTTTTTCTTTTTCTTTTTCTTTCTCTTCTTCTTTCTCTTTTTCTTTCTCTTTTTCTTTCTCTTTCTGTTTCTTTCTCTTTTTCTTCTTTCTCTTTTTCTTTTTCTTTCTCTCTCTCTCTCTCATTTTCTTTCTCTTTTTCTTTCTCTTTTCCTTTTTCCCTTTTTCTTTTCTTCTTTTCTCTTCCCTTCCTCTATGGGATTCTCTCTCAGTGCCGACAATGAGGAGGCTTTAATTTCCCTCAGCAGACGAGGCACGGTCCGACTCGGCGGATGACAGTTTCCCACTCCCCCCTCTCTCATCTCCCCACACCCCTTTACCATCCTGCTGTACCGCTGGGAACTCTCTCCCATGCCCACGCTCGCGGGTGGAAGCGCACCCGGCGGCTCCCCGCGAGTGGTGCCGACCTCGCGCTCTCGGCTCGTCGGGGCCGGGAGCAGCGGCTCGGGAACACCGCGGTCGCTTCCCCGGGCGGACGCTGTACAGCCGGTGCCGCACGACCGACCCTGAACGGGGGGCCGAGCTGGGAGGGGAGGGCCGGGCGGCCCCGACGGGCGGGCAGTCCCCGCGGCCCCGGCTCCTCGCAGCGAACGGGGTGCCTTGTTATATTGGAAATGAGGGGCAGGGGGAGGAGGTGGCGGGCACGCGGAGCGCCGGGTGTGCGGTGTCAATCAGAGGGGTTTTGTGTCTCCTCGGCTCCTGACGGTCCGTGGCTGAGGTGTCCCGGGTGGCACCGCCATGAATATGAATGGGGGTCCTCGCTAAATGGGACAGTCAAAGCGCACCGCCCTGAATAACGGCACGTCATCCCAACTACACCGCTATACATAGGAGGGCTCCTTTTGTCTCCGCTCTCCGCCGCAGCCCTATAAAAGCCCCTCGTAGGCAGGCGGAGGTCAGTCCCGGCACACACCCACCGCCGTCCCTGAGTGCGGGGCGCGGGGCAGCGCTGCCGCGGGGCAGAGGGCTCTTTCCCCCGCTGCCGCCCCAAGCTGCCGCCCGCCCGGCGCCGTCCGACCCGTCCATCCCTGGTGCCCCCCGGAGGAGCCGCCCCGTTCCGCCGCCTCCCGATCAGGGCAAGGTGTCTCGCTCCGGCGCTCGAGTACAATGAATTCTGACTCCAGCTCCGTCTCCAGCAGAGCCTCCTCGCCGGACATGGACGAGATGTACCTGCGGGAGCACCGCCACCACCACCACCACCACCACCCGGAGAGCCGCCTCAACCCCGTCTCTTCCACGCAGGGCGACCTGGTGCAGAAGATGGCCGGGGAGGGCCTGGCCCGGGGCGGCCCCAAGGCGCAGGGGGAGGGCGGCAAGTACAAGATCAAGAAGCAGCTCTCGGAGCAGGACCTGCAGCAGCTGCGGCTCAAGATCAACGGGCGGGAGCGCAAGCGGATGCACGACCTCAACCTGGCCATGGACGGGCTGCGGGAGGTGATGCCCTACGCGCACGGCCCCTCCGTCCGGAAACTCTCCAAAATCGCCACCCTGCTGCTGGCCAGAAACTACATCCTGATGCTCACCAGCTCCCTGGAGGAGATGAAACGCCTGGTGGGGGAGATCTACGGCGGCCACCACTCGGCCTTCCACTGCGGCACCGTGGGCCACTCAGCCGCCGCGCACCCGCCCCACGCAGCGGGCGCCGTGCACCAGGTGCACCCCATCCTCGGCGGGGCCCTCTCCTCCGCCAACGCGTCCCCGTCGCTGCCAGCCTCTCTGCCGGCCCTGGGCACCATCCGGCCGCCCCACTCCCTGCTGAAGACCCCTTCCACTCCCCCCGCGCTGCAGCTCGGCGGCGGCTTCCAGCACTGGGCCGGCTTGCCGTGCCCCTGCACCATCTGCCAGGTGCCCCCCCCGCCTCACCTCTCTGCCCTCTCCGCCTCCGGCATGGGCCGGATCTCGGCGGACACCAAGGACCTGCTCAAGTGAGCCGCCCCGGCCCTGCCCCCCGCCCCCGGGACCGCGGGGCCGGGGAGGGAAGGACCCTGCCGAGGGGACGCTGCCGCCCGCGCCGAGCCGGGAGAGGAGCGATCCCCGCGGTAAAAAAGAGTAATAGCGGTGGGGAGGAAATGTAAATAATTCCTTAAAATGGATGGAAAAAAAAAAAACAAAAAAGACATGGTTGTCACTGCAGTGCTCGCAGCTGTTCACAGACGATGGGATCGGTTTGGGGTTCTCCTCCTTTTGCGGGGTTTTCTCACTGTTCTGTCCAACGGCGGCGTCCCGCAGCCTTCTGCCCGCCCCGCCCCGGCTTCGGGCTCAGCTCCGCGGGGCGCAGCGCGGATGTCCCCGGGCGGGACCGCCTCGGGCGCTGCGGGAGTTCCTTTCGGCGTTGGTCGCGGCGCGGTTCTGTTGGCGGTTCCTTTCTTCCTCCCTCCGCGTCCTCTTATAAAACAACAACAACAAACCAACAAAATAAGGAGGGAAACGGTGCAAAGCACGGCGCAGCCCCTCCGGGCCCCTTTTGCCAACCCCTCGCCTCCCACTCCCTGAAACCCCTCGGCGCTCGGTTCTCGTCTCGAAGAACCGTTCCGTTTCGTTTTGCGGTTGTTTCGTTGTTTCGTTTGTTCCGCTCCGGTTCTGGTTTGCATGCGGGGCCGGCGCGGCCGGGCCGCTCCCCCTGACAGTGGCTCGGCGCCGCCGGTGCTGTTCGTCCCCCTCCCGGCGCCTTTCCCCGCGCGTTCGCTTGAATTGTTATTATCATTAATTCTGTTCGATCGTTCGTTTGGTTTTGGTTAGGGCCTCAAAGACAACCCCGTGTCTTTATTTTTTATATATTCTTGATAACTATCGATATATTTATTATTGACCAGTGTTTCTGGATGAGATTTCCAAATAAAGTTAAAAATGAAACACCGCCGCTTGGTCCGCCTCTCTCTGGGGCCGGGCCGTCTTTCCCCGTGGCTTTCCTGGATCCCCCCCCCAACCCTCCGTGCGGCCCCGCGCTCCCCGCCTCGTCCCCCATGCGGCAGCCGGGGCGGGCGGCTCCGCTCCGATGCCCGAAGCCCCGACGGGAGCTCGCCGCTGAGGTCTCGGTGTTCCGAAATGCGGGCGGCGGAGGGGCCGTCGAGGAAAGATCAGAAGGAACGCGGAGGAGAACTGCCGGGGGTGGGAACGGGGCACTTAAACGGGGATAGAGGCAACTGTCAGCAAGGAACCGTGAGGAGATCGTGTCGTGAGTGATATCCGAGGAATGGTAACAACCAAATCGTTGTTCAGATATCAGAACACATAGATGAAAAACTGAAGAATCAAAAGGAGAATGAATATTTGCACCCCAAACACAATAAACTAACAAATTGTGTTGTAATAAAAGCCAGTTCCTGCTGACATAAGTTCATCTACCACATCAACAAGATACTCAAGAGATGCCGCAGTTCCCTCCCTCCCTCCCTCCTTCCTTCCTTCCTTCCTTCCTTCCTTCCTTCCTTCCTTCCTTCCTTCCTTCCTTCCTTCCTTCCTTCCTTCCTTCCTTCCTTCCTTCCTTCCTCCCTTCCTCCCTTCCTCCCTTCCTCCCTTCCTCCCTTCCTCCCTTCCTCCCTTCCTCCCTTCCTCCCTTCCTCCCTTCCTTCTCAAAGCTATAGGACTGCATGAGACAGACCTGGGTTCCTGTGTCCCTAGGGAGGGCCATAAGTGTCCAGCAGCCCCAGCGGCCCCGGGACACAGTGCCCCATTAGGACAGTGAAACGTGTGGCTCTAGGCTCACTGCCATCACTTCCCAGCCCTTGGAGAGGGACAGAGGAAAAGGGTAGTGACAGAGATGCCTCTGACTGATCAGGAGGAAGAATCCTAAGTTATGTGGAGATATGGTGCTGTGGGCTACAGAGGGTAGGGGGACTGTCCCCTGGTCTGCTCCCTGCCTCCCTAACCCCCCTCCCCATCCCCCCGCCCCCCTGCCGCCCCGGCTCTACCCCCCTTCCTCTTTCCTAGCCCCCAAGTCTCAGCATTGAGGCTCCAGCTCCTTGATCAGGGTCACAATTTTACACACTCAGGCTGATCAGAAATCTTTAGTCTCTTCAGCAGAAACACAATCTTCTGTGCCCCATGCTGTGCCTCATGCTCCCACCCAGACACCAACAAGAGCACCAATGCAGCAGGAGATCTTCCCTTCCCTTCCCTTCCCTTCCCTTCCCTTCCCTTCCCTTCCCTTCCCTTCCCTTCCCTTCCCTCATTGCTCCCTGTGGGGGCTTGCACAACTTCCCAGGGCCCTGCTCTCCTGCCAGCTCTCCTTTCTGTCTTTTTCAATACTGAAAAAGAAAAAAATATATATAAGAAAGAACTCTGAGAGAAGATGTCTATGGAGAGAAAAGTGGAAACCGTGGAGCTTTCATTGGGTAGATTTCCTCTACACATACATGCACACATTTGGCAAATAAAATAAATCTGGAGAATGAAACAGAGCCAGAAACTAAGAACAGGGAAGTGCTGAGGACACAGCCGTGTCCTCTCAAGTGGGATACCCTGCTGGTCCCACCCAGGGCTCATGGCACACATGACACTGGTCCCCCTGGGTGCCTCATTCAGCCCCCTCTGTTGTTGGCTTTTTTTTTTTCTCCTCTCTCTCACTTCCCACTGGTTCCCACATCTGACAAACCCCATCCATACCGTCCCCCTAAGGAATGCCTTTTGCCTGCAGAACAGGCTCCGGGAGGAGGCGGAGTAGGCTCATTTTGATTAATATGGAAATAAAACGCAGAAATAGCGGCAGTACTTAGCTTCATTGCTTCAGTTTAGAGATTTATTGGCCAGGAGATAAAACCAGTCTGGGGGCGAGCTCGGTAATTCACGTCCCCATCGGTGATTACTAAATGAGCAAATCGTTTTTCTTTGAAGTGGAGGAGGGAAAAAAAATAAAACAAAACCTAAAAAAAAAAAAAAAAAAAAAGGTAAAAAACAAAGAAAGAAATCTTTGTGAAGGCTGCTGTTCTCTCCAATGGATCTGGCTGCAGGCAGCTGCACTGCTCCATAGAGGCCCAACTAGTCCACCAAAATGAATATGGGGTTATCAGGGATCCTTGTCTTCAATCACCCATGCCCTGCTCTGACTCCCCTCTGGCTGCCTTATGTGTTTCCTCAGAAAAACTTACACTTGTCTTTTTTTCTTTTTTTTAAAGTAACTCTTCTCAGCCCCCATTTCCCTCCTGCAGAAGCAGATAGACATCAGTTTGAGCTGGAAAGAGTCATCACAAGTTGATACCACGCTGCTGTTGAGGGGCAAGGTTGGCAAATGAAGTGTAATCCTTTATTAGCTATTGTTGGGGGAAAAGGGCACTTTACAGGCACACAAACACATCTTTTGGTCTGAAGAGGAAACAGCAAACCAGAAGCTAAGTACAGGCTAAATAATGAAATGTAGGCAGATGTCTCTCACTGCACTTCTGTGGATTCAAGGGATCTGGGTCTGCTGTTTTGCCCTCAGAGCGAGCTGGGATGCTCTGAGCAGCCACTCCATGCCACCTAAACATGTTTCAGGGCTGCTGAGCACTTGTTCCTCAGGAGCAGCAGCAGAAGCCAGGTGAGGTACCCTAGGGTGTCTCAGTGACTGTTAATATCTAAGCTCAGGTGGATGATCTGAGTCTTAAATGTTGTTCATTTTGTGTTCTCTCATCTTTCAAGGAATCAGGTTGACTCAAATCAGGACAAGCTTAAAGGTAAGAGGAATAAACCTCTTACCTTACTCATCTTATGCCATGTCAGGAGATGATATAGCTTTTGATAGAGCAGCAGCTGCAGGTGTGTTCCTGCTGGTGCACCCAGCAATGGCTGGGTAGAAAGCACAGGACTGAAGGCACAAAATGAGTGAAGGGAAATGCTGCATCTTGCTCATCCCAACCACCCTTCCTTCTCCTGCCTTCCATTTCCCACTTGTGACACTGAAACAAAAGCACTTTACTTGATATTGCGTTGAGGTAAGAATCTACGTGTGCACACTGCAGATGCAGGACATTTCAAGTCTGTGTGAAGGGCAACACTTCCTAAAAGCTGATATCATCAGTTGAGACTGTGTGACCAACACTGGCAACCAGCTTCCTGGACTCTCCCCAAACCTGCTGTGAATCAGCCTCCTGGGCTGTTATGCAGCAAGGGAGGAAGACTGCAGATCAGTATTTTTAGTTCAATCCACTTATGCTTGCTTGTTCTCTTCCGGACTGTTGTTGACATGTACACCTTGAAAGCTACTCACCAGATGGGCAAGAGGAGAACTGCAAGCACTGAGATACTTTTAATAATTATGATGAAGGTGATTTGAAGAGACCAGCAAATCAAAAACTGACGTATTGCTTGTTAAACATGCAGAGGAGTGACAATCAACCAATTTGTACAGGACCTATTCCTGATGCCTTGTGAGCTGGTTTAAGCAGATAAGACTCAATTCTTAAGGCAGAGATGCTGGGACAGCAGAGTCAGATCACAGAAGCTGGCTGCCACAGGTACAAGCAAGAAGCAGGAGTGTTACATAGCACTCAATTGCCATTTAGGCCAACTAGATGAAAAGGCAATTTATACAGTTTATTATTTTATTAAGTTTATTTTTGCTTAAGTATAGTACATGAAGTTTTCCTGATCACTGCACATACACTGAGCTACAAAAAAAAAAAAAAAAAAAAAAGTCTCTCAAAAGAGGTTTCCATTTACTTCTAAAACGAGTCACATTCAATTTATTCAAAGGAAGCTTTAAATACAGCCCATTGACTACAGAATAGAGCAGGGGAGGAGGTGTTTCTGGATGCATGACTCATTGCTGCTCATTTCTAATGAGTAGTTAGTTACATCCCAAAGTCCTGTCATTTTCAAAAACACATCTACTGTGAAAGACAGTAAGGTGAATTCAGTCAGGAGAAGGTGTGGGTTTTTTTTTGTTTTGTTTGTTTGTTTGTTTGTTTTTTACTTATAGAGACAGAGAGTTAGATATATGAGAAGATTTTCTCCTCAATATCATAAGTCAACTGTCTTGTCAATTTTTCAGGAAACATCTTGATCTGAACCTGATATCACACATGGCTGACACTCACAAGTCAAGCACCATTTTGCATAACTAAATAGAGTAGCCTACCACTAATGCTTTAACACGATTTATCAAGACTTATTCAATTCTCTTACAGATCCT